AGGACCGTGACCTTGATCTGATTAATATTGGCACAGGGCTGGAGCGATAGCACAGAGGTAGGGCGTTTGCCTTACACGCAGCCAACATGGCCAACCGGAGTTCGATTCCTCCACCCCTCTGGGAGAGCCTGGCAAGCTACCGAGAGTCCGGCAAGCTACCGAGAGTATCTCGCCCGCACAGCAGAGCCTGGCAAGCTACCCGTGATGTATTCGATAGGCCAAACACAGTAACAACAAAAGTCTCCAATGGAGACGTTACTGGGCCCGCACGAGAAATCGATGAACAACGGGAGGACAGTGACAGTGACAGACTATTGGCACTGTCTGTCAACATTTTGTTATCAAACGTTTTGGGAGGTGGGCCACACCCGGTTGTACTAAGGTTTTATTCCTGGCTCTGTGCTTAGAGGTCATTCCTGACAGTGCTTGGGGGACCATATGTGGTGGCAGTGATTGCCTCAGAGTTAGCTGTTTGCAGGACAAGCACCTTAACCCCGATACAAGCACCTTAATTCCCATACAGTCTCTCTCATTCCCTCCCTCCATCCTTCCCCACCCCCCGCTCTGTTTTCAAGCTTTCTCTATCACTTATATTCAAGTTGTATCCTTATAAATAGACTCTCTGGACTTGTATTCTCCCAGGCTGATCATCTTTGCCTTTAAATTGAACCCACCCATCTTCTATATTTCTAAAGCAGTCTTAGGTTTTTTTCCTCTCTCCTTTTTTGCTTTCTTTCATATTGATAGAATAGTCTCATAACCACTTCCCTACCTTTTCCATTAATTTGGAATTTATATACCCCATGTCTGCTAGATGTGGAAATCATAAAATTTACTTAACTTTTCAATTCTAAAAATTACCAGCACCTTTAGCCTCTTCAGGAATAATACAAGACTTAAATTCTTTATTTTATTTTTTCACCTCCTAATATATTTTTATCCTATCATGCTTCTAATATTACCATTTTCTACAGTAAAAATTCAGTTGGCTCTACTAGTCCACAGTGCCACCATTATGTTTCTATTAATGTCAGGGGGAAAACATTACCTATAAATAAACTGGTTCTTCCTTTAAAAAAAATTTGTATTGAATCACCAAGAGATATACCATAAAATGCATCAACATACTGTTTCCTTCTCATAGCTCATATATATTAATATTCAGGAGGGCAGATTGAACTGTTTCAAAAAATTTTAGAAAATAGAAGTTTATTTGAAAGTAGAAGAGAAAGAAACTCCCCAATAGGGGAGGAACTTAGTATAGGACTAAGTTCAGATTGAAATAGCAAATGTTCTATCAGAAGTGAAGTTCAACATGCCATTTACCAGTCACTGAACGTATCATTATTGAGGGTCAATAAATGGCAGGTGGGGCAGGAGAGAATTTTCAAGGAAATGCAGATGGTAGATTGAGGCAGGAACAAGAGGAACAACAGAACCCCAGTGAGCACAGCCATTAGAGGCAGCCACGGATGTTGAGGGTTGAAGTAGCCAGACAGGAAATTGTACCCCCATATAACTCCAGGCCGGGGTACAAGCAGAGGGCACCCACCGTGAGAGATCCTGTGGTGGCTTCTTCTTCATGGCCTGGTGGGGACAGACCAGGTTGTGTTCTCAGCTCCCAGGCCACAAGACACCCACAGACACAGCCGCCACTGTCATATGGGTGAGCCTGAGGCATCCAGGGGGTGCCATGCACATGGCAGCGAAGACAGCAGAGCCACAGAGCCGGGTGGCAGCGGGGAGGCAGGGGGCATAGTCCTGGCTGGGCCCTGCAACATCTACTGGAACGATGGACAAGTTCTTATCCATTCAGTTGGTCACAACACCAGCTGGATGGACTTGCGGTTGTGATTAAGCCACTTTGCTTGGTGGCTGGCACTGTGAGTATATTAGAAACACTAGCTGTTCTGTTCACTCGCAAATCCAAAGCTATGTTTTTAGCATGGAGTATTTGCAGAATAGGGGCATGAAGTTACTGAGGCAGGAAAAGGTGAGGGCCAGTAGCAAGTTCTCCGTCCTAAGGAAATGTGGGTAATCTTTAAGGATCTGCCATTTAACAGCCATCCCCAGTGCCGGGGTGGGGAGGTGGGAGGTTTTCCTTGGACTGGATGTGCTAATATCTCAACCCAGGAGGTGAGTCCTGGTTCTTCCCAAGATGGCTTCCAGATTTTAAATCAATAAGTTGCATCAAGTATAGATAATACAACATGCTAATAAACTGTGAAGTGCCTCTGTTTTGTCCCTCCTCTTTAGCACTTTTATCCCCTCGCTATTCGTAATGGCATATTATTGACCCTCCCAAATGAGTCACTCAAACGAGAATGCTAATATAATTGTGCAAAGATGTAGCAATGTCTCTCTGGAGAAAAATGGAAGTGTCTGCTACGGTGCAGTGATATTAATAAATCTGAGAAACATAAAGTTAGATTAAGAAGGCAGATGGAAGAGACTGTACGTTGGTCATGATTCCATTCATAGGAGGAATGCAGGCAAAGGAAATCAGAAAAGTAAGTCATGACAGTGGTTACCCTTGGAAGAGGGAAAGGACGTAATAATATAAATGGACACAGGGGACTTCTGAGGCACAGGCAAGATTCTGTGTGCATGCTTAGTCCTTAAACTGCACATTTTACATAGAAGTTCTAACATGTCTCAATTACAAGTTCAAAAATTAATCTATTTTTATTTCTTAACCTAGTTCCCCCTCAAAGAGCATTATATTTTTATGAAAGTTATTTTTAGTGAACTAAACTTTTACCAAAGAACCTGTACAAGTGCATTAGATTTGACCCACCTGAAACTTGTTAAAACTGACTGACTTAGATTTTATATAATAGAATCTGATATTAATTCTGGAAGGTGTCAGAACAGTTTATTTTTGGAAAGGAACTCCGGATTCACCGAGTCTCAAACCCTCATTTTACAAAGGAGAAAGAGTCATACCATATACGCTGGGGATGGGTCAAGGAAATTTGACTGTTTATAGGACCACTACTCTTTCTTTCAGACCACAATGCTGGCCTCCTTACAATAAACTGGTTTTGGAGTATGGTTTAAGATTTTTTGTTTGTTTGTTTTGTTTTGTGGCCACACCCAGCGGTTCTCTGGGGCTATTCCTGGTTCATTACTCAGGTGATCGTGCAGTGCTAGGGAACAGACCTGGACCTCCAACGTGCAAGGCATGTGCTCAGCCCTTTGAGCTAGCTCTCTGGTCCCAGAAGTAAACTGTTTTGAGTTCATCAGGTGAAATGAATCAACAAACTCCAAACGCTGTTATACAATTTCAGAATTTCTGCAAACTCATTCTTAAGCTTTGCCAACTCCTAGGGCAGGACCTAAGTGCTGTACAAGATATGGTCAAAGTTAGATTACTCATCGCCCATAGTGGTTATTATGTGCTGTGACTTGGGCTTCTGATCAAAATTAACCATGCCTTTTCATTGAACTCCAAAATGAGGGCATGAACAGTCAGAATGAAGGGGCCTCCCAGTAATTGTCTTGAAAAGTGAGTATGGATCAAGAAGGACTTACTATAAACCTGGTGCCACTGAAGAGACTGCTTTCGGTTCCCAGGCCCAGATTATGTTTCCTCTGGGCTGAATCAGTGTTTCCTAATAGAAGGTTGATGGTTTTTGAAATCATGCAGCTCCTAGTGTCTTTTGCATAATTTAGAGAACATCCTGCTAGGTCATAAGTCCTCCAGGATCACTGATCAAAGAGGGATAACTAGAAGTTGAAACTCTTACTCATTCCACATAGAAGTCATTCTGATCCTTTTCATCTGAAACTTTCCCTCATTTTCTGGTGCCAGCTGGATTAGCTCAATGCTATATAGGTCATCAACAAAGCAGATCTGAGTAGCCACTGGTTTTTAGCAAGCTTTTAAGGCGTTCATAGTGGCTGGTAAGATAGCATCAACTACAGAGAAAACTATTTGCTAGCATTTAAACAGTAAAATCTAGACCTTCCGGCATTCATTGAAGATTATCCCCGGTGCACTGTGCTCCCTTTCTGGTTGTAGACTCTGGTGCTTACTGCCATCCTCAGGGGCTAGAGAACACAAGCTGTATGTCAATATTTTGTGGCCCTTCCTGTGCCACTGTAGTAAGTTGTTCTAAAGCTCTTTATTTTTGCTATATACTATCACTATCATATTGTAAACACTGCATAATAAGCCTTAATTGTAATAAAAAATAAATCCACCTTTATCTGGAATAGAATTAGTAATAATACTTAAATGGTGGTGATGTGTGGGGGTCTTGGAGTGGCCTGCTACCATTGCTGTTGAGATCAGGGCAGGGGTTAACTGGCCTGCACCATTAGGTTAACTGGCATCATTCCCCTCTGCTGTGGCTGCTATATTGTATACAAGATCAGAAGTTCTTTTGGGGACCACACCTTGAGGCACTCAGGGCTTCACTCCTAGCTGTGCACTCAGGGATCGGACCTGGACCTCCACGCTTACTCCTAGCCCTGCACTCCTGGCAGGGCTCAGGGAACCTTGTGGGGTGCCAGGACCAAACTGGGGTTAGCCATGTACAGGGCAAGCCCTGCACTATCTCTCCTGCCCATCCTCTTGATACCGTGTATGTACCAATAATGCTTTTGTAAATCTATGCAGACTCCCTAACGTCATTTTCAGTGTATCACGCAGCTTATTAGATCATCTCTGCCCCCAGGTGGCCTTTCCCTGGGCGTCCATGCTCTTATAAACAGTGCCCACCCACTGGTGGAGGGATGGGTACTCGATCATTGTATAACTGAAACCCAAGCGTAAAAATTTGTAAGTCTACAACTGTACCTCATGGTGTTTCTCTAATAAAAATTTAGAAAAAAAAATGAAACAGTGCCCACCAGGTGTGGCTGGTTCTCTGAAAGCGAAGTAAGTTCCGGAAAGCAGAAATGTATGTGGCCTTGACTGGGAACTTGACCTCCTATGTTTGTCTGTGCCTTAATAGTAGCAAACCATGATCTGCTCTTTCCTTGTTTGATTCCAGGATGTTTTTCTCTGGTGGCCAGACTGGCCTTGCTAGTCTATCTAAAGGACTTTTACCAACGTTCAAGATATCCCTTGTCATCGTTTGCCTTCATGTCACGCTGGTTACATCCCTAGAAGGTAAGGTACCTGTTTCCCTTCATCTTATTGCTGCTTCATTCTTTGCCCCCTCCTCATTTGTTTTAGCATTGTTTTTAAGTATGGCAGATAAATATAACATAAAACTTACCATTTGAACCACTTTACTTGTCTCCATTGCCATCAAATACATTGACAATTTTGCAAAACCATCACCGCTATCCATTTCTAGAACATTTTCATCATCTCAAATAGAAACTCTGTATTTATTAAACACTAATCCCAACTCATACCTGTCCCGGTGTTGGGTAATAAGTAGTCAGTATTCTACTCACTGGCTCTAAGAATTTCTCATGCTATGTATCTCATATAAATGGACTCATGCAACCTTTTGTATTCGACTTATTTCTCAGAGTAATATCTTCAAGGCTCATCCTTGTTGTCATATGCGTTAGATTTAACAGCATTAAATAATGCTACCATGAACAAGTGTACAAGTGTCTGAATCCCTGCTTCCAGGTGTTGGGAGTATATATTTAGGAGTGGAATAGCTGGATCATATGGTAATTCTATATTTAATTTTTTGAGCATCTGCCAAATTATCCCTTATAGTAGCTGCCCATTGCATTCTTACCTGTTTTAGGACAGCCTAGAAAGCTCCACTGGTAAAGCACAGGTGTGTGTGAAGGCCTTCCTTCAATCCCCTTTACCCCACTGGGTATGGCCATGGTGGCATCACACACTGCTGTGGGGAACCTTTGGGTAATAGAGGAGCTCATGTTTCTCTACATCCTCACCACATGTGTTATTTTCTGTTGTTTTGAGAATGGGTCCGACATGGCACCAATGATAGTTTGATTTGCACACCCTTAGTGATAAATGATGTTACTCATCTTCATAGGTACTTATTGGGCGTTTGTATGTCTTCTTTGAGAAAAGTCTATTCAAAGTTTTGGTTGATTTTAAAAATTGAATTGTTTGGGGTGTTTTGTTGTTGAGTTAGGAGTTCTTTATATTTTCTAGATATTGATCCTTTATGTGATGCACAAATGTTCTCTCCCACTCTGGGTGATGCATTTTTACTCTCTTAATATTATGTCCTTTGATAATATGGTTAATAACTGGAGGTGGGAGTGATCCACATTTGGAGGTACTCGAGGCCATGTGCTGCTGGGTTTGAACATGGGGCTCCCACATGCAAAGCTTGTGCTCAGCCCTGTGAGCCATCTCTCTTACCTAAGGTTTTAAATTTTGGTAAATTTCAATTGATCTAACAAAAGCTTTGTTGCTTGTACTTCTGCTGATGCCTGAGTCTCAGGAATTGAACCAGACTCAAGGCCATGAATTTTCCCCCCTCGATTTTCTTTGAGGAGTTTCATGGTTTTTGCTCTGTGTTTAAGCTTTTTGGTCCGTTTTGAGCTCATTTTTGTAGAAGGTGCGAAGCAATGGTTCACTTCATTCTTTCACAAGTAGATGTTTCATTTTCCAAGCCTCATTTGTTAAAAACACTGCCCTTTTGCCGTTGGATGGTCTTGGCACCCTTTTCAAAAATCCATACCTGTCAGGTTCTGCTTCCAGTGTTCATTTTGAAAAGTACCTTCTTGAAGGCAACCTGCATGAAAATGTAAGAAATTTAGCGAGCATGACAAATGAAGCAGCATGGCTTTCAGAAAAGAGCAATTTTAGATTAGTATGACATAAAGAATTTGTATCATGGGGAGACAAAGCTGTCCATCTCATGAAAAAGTAGAAAGAAAGAAAGAAAGAAAGAAAGAAAGAAAGAAAGAAAGAAAGAAAGATAGAAAGAAAGGAAGAAAGGAAGGAAGGAAGGAAGAAAGAAGGGAGGGAGGGAGGGAGGGAGGGAGGGAGGGAGGGAGGGAGATAAAGAAAGAAAGGAAGAAAGAGAAAAAGAGAGGAGTGATGAAAAAAGATGGGAGGAATGGAGGAGAAAAGGCTACTGAAGGGATGGAGTAAAGGCTGGAACTTCTGGGGCTGCACTGTGGGTACAACTGCTGAAAGAAAACGTAAGAACTCCTTTTTTAGAGTGTTATTTATGACATTAATAAGGCCACCAAGAAGAATGCATTTCTTCAGCAGAGAGTGCCAGGACCTCAGAATCTTCTTTGGTTAAAGCATATGTCTACCAGTAGCAAACGCTATAAAGAAACAAAACACACAGACACACAGAATTCTTTCCCACGGCCCCCAACAATCACCCCACACTAAATGGAAAACTTTCCAACAGGCTAAAAGTTACTACTGATAGTTCTTCTGAAAAGTAGGTGGCACTATGTCATATTGTCAGAAGGACTTAAGAAGTAAATGAGCACCAATGCTTCCAAGGTGCCAGGCCCGCTTTCTAACCATACACTCTCTAGCTTCACCACCAAATCCAGGGAGGGAAGGTCTTCGCCCCATTTTCCAGACCAAGCAGCTAAAGCACACAGAGATAAATTGACTGATGTTGTTTGCCCCTTGGAAGTGGCCAGGCTGAGACTTGTACTCAGCTCTGACTTGTGTGCTTGTAACCACAAAACCATAGCTCTCAAACCGGAACATTCATCAGAATCCTGTGGAGGGTTGGTTGAAACCAGATTTTTGGACCTTCCCCACAGCGTAGGATTTAGACCTGGGCATTGAGAATTCTTCTATGTGCCCTGGTTTTCTTGGGGCAGTTGGTTCAGAGTCTATACCTTGAGAACCACTGGCTGAAGACATGAGGGAGAGAAAACGCTTCTAGATATATATCATGAGATACAAATTCTGTTGTGGTGGCCTTGCGAAGTGTAAACTATGCTCACACATCATCTTCTTGGGGTATGAAACCGTCCCTGTGGGACTCACAGGGCGCAAATCCAATGTCCCCACTTCACTGATGAGTAAATGCTCCCAGGGACATGAGTAAATGGGGAACGTGAGTAAATGGGGATATTCTTGATTAGGAAGTGGTAGGGCCTGGACTAGATACAGAGACTTCAGTCTCACGTTTAGGCGCTTTGTTCACCAAAGGAGTAGATGAGATAGGCAAATGGAATGCAAGAGGTTAAAAAAAATAAAAAGCATCCGAGGGCTGGAGTGGGTAGGGCATTTACCTTGCACGCAGCCGACCCGGGTTCGATTCCCAGCATCCCATATGGTCCCCTGAACACCGCCAGTAGTAATTCCAGAGTGCATGAGCCAGGAGTAACCCCTGTGCATTGCCAGGTGTGACCCAAAAAGCAAATAAATAAATAAATAAATAAAAAAAAAATAAAATAGCACCCAAAATGCAAAGAAAGCTGAAACACATCTTTTCGAATCACATCCATTTCAAAATGCTGAAAAAAGGGCCAGGGAAGCAGACAAGCACTGGGCTCTGCTGCAGACTTTCATGGTGCTTGGGCCATTCGTACTTCCTGCTTGTGTTCACATGAGCTGATGTGACACAGGTGTGTCCTCTTAAGGGACACCCCGCAGACATGCACCTCGACATCACCTGTGTGCTTATTAGAAGGGCAGATCCATCCTCAGGCTCACTGCCGGCCTGATGAGTCAGAAACTCAGACCTAGCAGTCTCTCGAATCAGTGCTCATCTGGTTTAGACTGCCATCCTAAAGCACTGCTGCCAAAGACATGCCTTGCTGGTTGCCTGAGAGCAGCTTGGGGGCCATCTTGGGCTCTGACTCTTTCAGGGATGCCACCTGCCATTTGTGTGATCTTAATTTTCCAGCTAGACCAATATGAACCTCTGTTTATTCATCTTCAAAATGGGTAGAATGCTAGTTTCCCCTGTACCTGGAAGGAGAGCATTCCCATTTGGTATTGCCTGGTAGGTTATTGATTGGAGGGGGGGTCTGGAAATTCTATTATCATTAAATTTTATGAAATGATTTTGAGATTGGCTGGAGCCACATGCAACAGTGCTGGCAGGTGGGTACTCCCGGATTTGTACTCGGAGAAGGCATCATTCCTGGCAGTGCTAGGTTGATCATGTGGTATGAAGGATCCAATCTGGATCAGGCACACACAGGTCAGAGCCCTAACCTCTCGCCCTGGAATAACTTTTGAGTGTTCTCAGATATAAGAATAACTTATCAAATTGTACCAAATAGAATGTTCTATTTTCAGATAGCAAGGGAAACCTGAAGCAAGTGAACCTGATGGGTTTTGTAAGACTCAGTATATACACAAAACAATATTCCATGAACATACTTTTTTTTACTCCTGCTTTATAGATTTCTAATTCACATCCAATATAGCACATACCAGAGGTTTTTTTTCGTAAATTAAGGGTTTAATAATCTGGAAAGGCCTAAGTTGGGGTTCATTACTGCCATTCCAAATGCCCAATGTGCATATTTGTTATTGAAGAGTCTTTGATAGCACTTACCATGAGCCAACCACATTCTGAGTCCTTATTAGAGGCTAATGCGTTGAAAGCTCACTCACTAACTCTTTGAATCAGTCACTGTTATCAGCTGCTTTTGCAGATGAGGAAACTGAGGCACAGAGAAGGTGAACAACCTGCTCTCGGTTGAACAGTTCAGGTTCAGAGTTATAGGCTCAGGCTACATGACATCAAAGTTTCCCCACTATGATGTCTTGTGAATATTGGGACACTCTTATTTTAAAAATTAGTTTTCTGGGGCACGCGATAGTGCAACAGATAGGGCATTTGCCTTGTACACGACTGACCTAGATTCCATCCCCGGCATCCCATATGGTTCCCGAAGCACTTCGAGGAGTACTTCCTGAGTGCAGAGTCAGGAGTAACTGCTTAGCATCGCCAAGTGTGACCCAAAAAGCCATAAAAATATTAGTTTTTGCAAAAAAATGGCTTGGAATCTTATTAATAATGGTTTCTCATAATTCCAACACTACACTCATCACCAGTGTCGCCATCTCTCTCCCTCAGGGACTCCATCTCCTCAACTTCCCACTGTCCCCAACTCAATAGTGTGTATCAGTTCCTCATGTGGCTCTAAGTGTGTTGGGATATTCTATTTTTTTTTGTTTTTGTTTTGCTTTTTGGGTCACACCTGGTGAAACACAGGGCTTACTCC